ATCAGGTAGTAATGTGCTGAGAAAGTGCTCTTTATCTCTCCACACTGTGTACTAGTATAGCAGTGGGGAAAGGCTTTTGGTAGAAATTACTTTAGTCAGAAAAAGAATCCATTTACAGTATGTGCCTTCTAACATCTTTCAGACAATGCATTGTATTAAAGAGGCATTTTTTGATTAATGTTTTATAAACATTTTTCAGCATGACAGCTTAAAGTCCCTGTAAAATTGTAAATGCGTGCATAGTGCTCACTTCCATAAAGTCAAATGCCATCTCATAAAGTCTAGTTGGATTCTGTCAGTGACAGTGACACAGAATCAGTACCTTGGAGCATTAAAATTAATTTGCTTCATTTATATTACTGCAGTGATAGCTAGATGAAAAGAGTCCTATATTTAAATTCTCTTAAAAATACCTTCACATCTTTTAGGATTTTTTATTATTATTATTTTACAGTTAACTAAATGTAGTGAAGTGCAGCATAGTATTTTCATGGGTCTTTTAAGAAGGTGACTACAAAATGTGAAAGTAGCAGAGGGGAAAGGCAAGGATATGGGAGGTTACCCTGGGTACAAAGCTGGAGGAAGGATAAATAGCTTTGAGTTGTGCAGGCTGGTAGAGAAACAGTAGCTTTTGACCAGGGCTGATAAAACACAGCCTTGGAGCCAAGGTGGAATACCCTGGAGCAGTGGAGAGCAAACAGGACTTTCCTATACCAGATTATAAGAGCAATCTTCTACTCTTCCTTGTTGTTTTTGAAGGTCACAATGAGCAGCTTTTCTCTTGGTAGCTTTTCCTCAGGTTTGCAAAGTTATTACATGAAATGGGCAGAGTGAGGACACAAAGAGAGAGAAAAATTAAATGTACTCCATACCACACTGCCTAACTCTCTTCTCTCAGTTGCACAGGGACTATGATTTTACTGCCCACTGGGCTCAGTGGAACTGAGTGATTTTAGTGGAAGTGCCCAAACTTTACACTGCTGCAAGTGAGCATAATCAAAGGTCTTGGGAAGCTAAACCAAGCAGGCTAGAAGCGTGGAAGTGGGGAAGAGGAGGAAAAAGGAGGAAGAGAGAAAATGCAAACAGAAAAAGAGCCTCTGAATACCAGAGCCAAAGAGAAAGGAGAAAGATGGGAACACAGGGGAGCACTGGTAGGAGAAATAAAGCTAAACAAAGGGGAAACAGTAAATTCAGGGTAAAAAGCTGAGAATACTAATTATCTTGCTTGTAAGAGATATCTGTGGGATGAACTCAGTGCTCCCTTCCTTCTGCTACAGGTGAGATACTATTTCCTAACCCAGCTGGGTACCACATTTCCTTTCTTTTGGGAAGGATGGGATACAACCCTGACTTGCACCTTTCACAGTGTTTGGTCAGCTCTGATCCAGGAGTTGGATGCATATTCATGCAATAAGGGTATTTAAAAGATTTCAGCAACTCAAGTTTGTTATGCCTCTACTTGGAGCAAAGATGTCTGAGTTGCTACCAAACCACAGAGGAGCACTTTGTCACTCAGTGCTCATGGCAGGGAATGAGTGAGGGTCTTTGGGAGAGGACTTGAACCAAGCTGCTGAAAGCTGAAATAAACCTTCATAAACCACAGTAACATGAATGGGGTTTTGTGGCATGAGCCTTCAGAGCATGACAGCAATCTTAAAACGTAACAGAAAGATTGTCTATAAACTGATAATGCTAGTGTTCCTCTTCCAGTGTCAAGACAAAGACCTACAGAAGTCAGTCCATTACCCTGAAGTACAGATAAGCATGATTAATGGCTCTGTGAAAACAAAATGAAAAATCCTTGCAAGCATTATTTTTCATGTGTGTGAATGCAGCCTTAATGCACCAGGTGACAGATAAATACCCTAGTAATTGGGTGGGGGGGAGAGGGGGGAACAGGGTGTAGAGACTGATGTGTACTTTGAGGAAACTTACAACTAAGACAGTGGTCTGGGGTTTAATATATGTGATTTGTTGCTGTGCCAAAAAAAAAAAAGAAGGAAAACAAGAGTGGACAATCAGAAATAAAAATAACCATAACCGTTTTGCTTAGCATTTTCATTCCTGATATCTATCTGAAACATTGAAACTTGTCTCACTTTACTAGTTTTGTTATAGCCACACCTGTTCATGACACTGCTGTTTTACTCGGTGCTGCTGTTACGGCTTCTCTTAGTGCATGTTAAAAATGCTTTACAGGATAAGATTCAGCATACAGCATCAGCCCAAGCATTATATTCTTTCTTTAGCTGGAATTTGGTTTTCACTTTGTTTGGTTTTGGTTTATGTGTATAAACAATATGTAGTTTGTTTGTGGTTTTGTTTGGGGATAATTTTTTTTTTTTTTTTTTTGTAAGAGAGGGAAGAGTAACTATTAAAATGTTTTTCCTAATTAGGAATTTGCATGAGCTTTGTGTGTTTGGAAAACATTAGCAGTCATACTGAGGCTTGCAGTTACTGTGCATTGCTACAAAAACGTTTGCCGTTTTGTTTAGCTTTGTGTTAATATTACTGACACAAGCATTTGTGACTGTATTCTCTGGATCTCTGTCATTAAATATTTTCTCAGACAGCTGCATACTGGCAAAGTTGGAATTATAAAAATCAGAAGTGTATAAAAAGGCAACAGGGCTTTTTATTTCCAATGAAATAATGCAGAAATGATTATTATTTCTTCTTTTCACCAGTTAGTTTTTCCTGGTAAATAACAGGCACTTTAATTGCACATTAGTAGCTTACAGGAACCTATTGTTGTGACGTGTATTTAAACATGCTGTGAATTAAGAATCTCTTTCCACTCAGTGATCTAATTACATTGTCACACTAATTATAGTATTTTGTATTTATATTTGACAACTTTAATTTTCTTTTCCTGGTTTACTGAAATAGCTTTCCTCTAGAGAATTTACCTTTTAGGCTCAATTTTCTCATCTTTCAGAAAATATACAGTAATTTAAAGCATGTCTCAGCCACTTTGGATCCATTCTGTTCATGTCTCTGCTGTTAGTTTTCTGTGTGATCTTAGGCTAGTCATTTTAGTGTTCTCTGATTCTCTGTAGGAGTCCTGTTCAGCTTACTAAAGTGGTTTAGGATCTATGGATGAAATTGCACTACCAAAACCCCAGGTACTGTCTTAGGAACATAAATTTAGCATGTTCATAGGTTGGGGCTCTAGTTTATTCTTCTGTGGTTAGAGAATAGAAAAGGATGCATAAGGTCAAGTTGTTGCCTGGAAACAGGCAATAAAACCCTTATCTGTTTACAAAAGCAGTTTGATGGGCATTTGAAGTAAATTACACTCCTTAATATAATGCAAATGCACATTTCATTTCTATCCAAATACTGTCTATTTCAAAATCAGTGTTAATAATAAACAGCCCTATTCTGTGATAGGTCCATGATGTTCTTTTGAAGGTAATTACAATATTCAAATTGGCATGCAAGCCTTTATTTATTTGATTTAATCTTTTCCTGGTAATAGCCATGTAGGTAAAGGCAACTACTATGAGGATGAGATTGTTAGTGGTAAATGTGATAAAGCTAATCAAAATAATAGCAAGAAATGGTGCTGTGGAAACATCACGAGGATTTCAGCAAGCCTAGGCATGTCAGAAATGGACAAAAAACCTGTTTCCTTACATAAGGGGGAAACAACTTTTATTAAGGCACACCTAAAAAATTGTTGGAAATGGGAATTTATCCAAGACATACAGAAAAGTTTGCCCAAGCATGGCTGCTTTGGCTGATCTGAAACATCTGCTAATAGAGGAATAGAGGGCATGTGGCACAAAGCTCAGCTTTTTGTCATTGCTGAGAAAGGAGACACAGAATGAGCTCTTTAAAAACTCTAGCCTGCTTTGGTGCAAGGGTGATGCTGGCAGAAGATTCCTAGAATGACATTTAAGATGAGAAAGAAAATAAGGTATGTTGTCAGGGGGCTGCTGTGGAATCACAGCTGCTCTTGTTGGCGAACTATGCAAATGTCTGGTCAGAGATGGTTGCAAGTTGTGCCCACATATGTGAGTTGTAGAGCATGGTAGCAGAGTTCTAAGGTTTAAACAGGTAATTTTTAACAATAGCATGTTCAAAGTAAACATAATTGATTTATTTACTGCAAAATTTAATCAAATTTAATTTTACATATCACATGATCAAGTGGGAAAATTATGCATGGAGATGTCTAACACAATTAGCAGTGTTTAGTGCAATTCAAGCTCTTAGGAAAAATGTCCCACCTCTAGCTTGTAATACTCACTTCTTCCAGTATGTAGCAACTTCTGTACTCCAGCTGCTCCCTATCTCTTCATAGGCATGATCGCTTTATATTGCTCACTCGGTTCACTAAACTTTTTCTCTCTCATGCTGTATCTCTTCTTAAACACATATGTAGAGCAGAGAGTTTTGTGCACCTAAGCACTGACCTGCAGAGTACTTGACTCTACCCTGTGACTGCATGAATTGGTCAGAGCAGGGAAAGCTGTCATTTGACTGCTCACCGACTGGCAGGGAGAAAACTGGCCAGGAAAGCACAATCCTTGTCCAGTGGTGAACAGGCTGAAGAAAGGATACAAGCAGGAGTCAGGTGGGTTGGATGGAGGACTATTGCAAAAATACAAAACAGAGCACAGTGAGAGAAAGTAGTAAATAAGCAGGACACAAGTGTGCTGAGCAACTGAACAGTCATGCTATAGCAGAATCTATGTTATATCAAGTCTTCAGCAGGAGTTTGACAGCTATTAGCTTAATTAGATCTTTTATGGCATTCTGATACTTCTTCTTTAATGTCACAGAACTTTCTCTGCCAGGTATTTTTTATTTTTATTTTGTTCATGTTCTTGCTGGTTTGTGTTGGGGGTTTTTAACATAAAACTTATGAGTCTTCACTTTGTTTCTTTTGGAAGGTTTTTTTGGTGAAATGTCAAGGCAACATAAAATGTTTTGCTTTTATCTGGAGCTCAAAATCTGAGGTGAAAGTCTCTCTCCTGTTTGCCTGCCTGCAGGGATTCCAATGCTGAAGATAGTATTTGCGGGTTATGAGCACCTGTCCTTGATTTCCGTCCCCTTACTCATCTATCATCCTGCTCAGATTCTTCTTGGGAGTCTGCTGGTACCAACAATAAAATCCTGGATGGTTTCTAGACAAAAGGTAAGAATTGCTGTTTTTTATTTATAGTGGAAAGAGTACTATGAGGAAAAAAAACACCTAAACACATCTTAAACTCCTGAGGTTCCTTCTTGGAGATCCCATGGTAGGGACATTTCTGTGTCTTTACATAGTCACAGTAGTATAAAAAAAGAAAAAAGCTGAACTTTATTCTTCTTGGCTCTGAAAAGGTTCAAATGTCAAAGTTAAACTTCTATGTTTAGTTTAAATTATTACTCCATTCAGATTATGCCTAGTAAGAATGGCTCCATTTTTAGCTAATCATCACAGATTTGGCTCTCCCATATGGAGAAGTGACAAAGATCTGTCCACTGGCATGGAAGCTGTCGAGATCACATAAAATGAGAGCACTCTCTGAATTGAATTGAAGTAGGATTAAAACTGTTTTGATTTTTCACTTGGGCCACTCCCTACAATAGCAAGAAGTCTACAGGAGTCTGATGCATCACATTTCATGCCAAAATAATGGCAGGGGACAGCTTGTAGGATAATAGCCTGTAACTGAGAGGTATTTGCATTGATATCACTCATTCAAATTATGCTTATTTCAGTTCAGATTGAAGCTATTGACAGCTGACAGCGATTCTATGGTCTATGTGAAATAATTGCAATGAGTTTGTTCAGGTTCTCAGAACAGTAGTAACCACCCTACAGAAAGCTAGTCTGTGCAACTGACTGTAATGCTGTCCTTATTGTTCTGAGATAATAAGGATCAAGAAGCTGTGACACCTGAAGCAGCATTTGACAACCATTTTAGCTGAAAGTTGAGACCTACTGTAACAAGCACAGTACCACCAGTACCCTGCATTCTTCACTTATCAATGGATAAATATTTGGGTTTTTATATAACTTCCATGTTTTGAATTGTCAGCAAAACCCATCAAACTGCCATTTTACTAGCTTCACTTTACTGAGTCACCTTCCTAATTTGAATGCTAAATTCCCCAAATAAGTGATTTTTATGTGGCGCCGCTTTTGGTTACCTGAATTGTAAAAAAAAAAACCAAACAAACCAACTCTCAATTTTCAGGAACTGAGTCCAGAAATCAGACCCTGTTAAGATACACTTATTGTAGCATCCAGAAATGCAAATTTGAGAATTCTGTGTCATTTCTCCATCAGTCTGAAAGTCATGATCTTTTTTTATCAGAAACTATCAGGAGACATCACAGGCTGTGTAAAGAAAATTCTATGCCATTCCCTCAGAAAGATAGCCTTAAATAGACACTGCTGCTGACAGAACAATCCCTGCAATGCGACTTCTTTTCAGCATCTAACTGCTCTCTGCTGCTAGGATCAGGAGTGGGGCTGGAGCTCTTCCAGACCTCCCCAATACTCAGGGGTGGTAATGGCCTTTAGGGGCTGCTGTCAGATTAACTGCTGCAAGTTAACACAGCCTTTAAACAGGGCATCAGAAAAGTCAGCCAGTACTGGAGAGATTTACAGTTCACCAGCACTAGTTTCTTATTCATTAAGCATCAAATAAACCTCCTGTGCTAATCAGACTGTAATGCTACTGTAGAACCACTTTGGGGGATTGTTGTTCTGTTGCAGCAGTTTCTTTAGTTGGTCTTCTGTATTATTCACAAATGTTATTTTAATTACTCTTTGAAAAAAAATCAATGAGGTTGGGTCTGGTACAGTTGCAATAAGTATAATAGAAGTGAATGTTGTGACTGGATAATGGTCTCCCGCTTTGAAAATAAACATGTCATCATCACCCTTGATGTTTATTTTCTATAAACACCTTGGCTTCATTTTGGCATCTCTCTTGCAGGGGGAGACGGTTATCCAGTCACAGTACTCAACTGCAGTGACATTCTTACTTAATTATGATAGTACATGTGATCTGGTTGTATGAAATTGAATTTAAATATTTAGAGGTTCATCTACACTAAGGTATTTCTAGTTTGTAAATATGGCAGAAGCATCTGCCAAACTACAAAGTTAAAAAATTGTTTCCCCAAACAAAATGTGGAATGATGTCTCTTTCCAAAGTCTCTTGCTGAATAATATCTAAAAGACTAATCTCAAATGGCTAGATTTAACAATAGTTAAATGCTGGTGTTTCTGAAAGCCAGTGTTTCTGAGGGGAATAAAGCCTATTTATTTTTAAAGGTTTGGATTCTTTTAAGGGTTTATACTTGTGCTGGAGCATTTTTCAAGCAGTGCTTACAAGCTTTAAATGTACAATATTAAAGGTTAATATCTACAATAAGAAGACCCATCAGACATCTCTCAGACTAAAAACTGCTTGTTTAGCTAACCCTCCAGAAATGATAAATCTCTCATTCAACAGGCAAATCCCAGCCTGTCAGGGCACCTTGCCCAAAAGGCTAAGGAAAAAAGAGGTTCCAAATTTCAGGAATTTGCGAATTTCACTAATTTCCCTCTCAGTCAGGCTAATTCATCCCACACAGAAAGAACTGAGCTTTTTTGATGCAGAGCACACCAACAACAGGCATCCTTTGCAGTGACCATACTGGGATGCAGGAACAGCTGAAAACCTAACGCCTTTTAAGCCTGTCACATTTGCCTCCAAAGTTAGACAAGCTGCTTCCTGCCAAACTAGAGGCATGATCACCTATCGTTTGACTTGAACTTCTGTTACACATTGCATGAAAAGTTCAGCCACCATAGTTGGCCAGTCCTGTGGGGAACACAGAGCTGGACCCTGCTAACAATTAAACCCCAAATAAATAAACCACAAATGTATGGTTTCTCTCCTCTTTAGAGACAATAGACTAGAGTTACAAAGACATCAGGTGTCCCCTGGCATAAGATAACCTCTGTACTGATGGATTTTGGCTTAGTCTTACCTTTTCTTAGAAAGGAAGGTACAAACATTAGAGGTGCGTGACACCCACCACTGCAGCATTGACTATACTCTGAGCAGGATTCAAGCTATATGGACGGAGGCCAGGGGACACAAAGGTGTTGACAGAAATTTTCTCTGCGGTGTTTCCCAAAGTGCATCAGAAGCTCCTGTATCTATGCCACAAGTGGTTTGGGTGGGCTCCAAGTTGCTGCTTTCTAAAAGACATCTGAGACCCACCTCAGCTTTCTTCACTGGCGCTGTAATCATATTCCTTGTGGTTCCTCTGTTAAGACTATCTGTATATGAGGAGGTTGTGATGAGCTAACAGAGATAAAAACATCATCACAAATCTCAGTGGCCCATCAGCTGCATGCCAACCCCTCACTCAGCCTTCCATAAGCCCGCACAGCGTTTGTTGCCCCTTATAAATAAAAATCTGGTTTTGTGCTTTTGCTTGTGTTTGAAGGATATAAAAAAGTGACTGTTTTATTTACTGTTCACAGGCACTGAAGTTAACCAGGCAGCCCAAAGCACCCGTGAAGGTATAATTACGTAGATGGCCTGTGTCACAGTGAATGTATATATGTACTATACTGTACACACAGACAAATGAGACGACTGGGTATTTGTGAATGTTGCTTCAGTGCATATTTTATTTTTATATATATATATATATTAAAAAGATACCTGTTAAGTGCCTTACAGATGCATTTTTGGCAAAAGCATTGTTTCCAGAAGCCACTTTGTTGGTTACTGCAAGAGGTTGTACAGTATTTTGGAATCCTTTAGGTTTTATTTTTCTAATCGAGTGAATGGTCATGACTAACAGCTGTTCCTTGCATTGCCCCTGCTTTGAGCCAGGGTGCACCAGCTGTAAGTCTCTGTTTTAAACTAGTCAAAATGACCAGAAGCTTATCCCACTGCTGTGTTACCCTGGGGAAGAGCTTTCTGAAGGCTTCTTTTTGAGATTGACTTGAATTCCTGTGTGACTCTGTTACACTCCCTAGTCATATGACTGTGACATGCCTTTTTCTTCTGAGTTTGTGTATACTCAGCATGGGGCCATCCATTGGATAGAAGCTGAGAAGCATGAATTATTTGCATTTGTTGACACAGTTGTCTAGACATTCCTTCAAAGTTAATGGTTTCTCAAGAAAATTCTTTTAATTCCATTGTATGATATTGTGCCATTGTATATCTTAAATGCCTCATAAGCTTCTTCAAAGAAATGGTCTGGTGCTTGGGTTATGAGTGAAGTATTTGTGTTTGCAGCTAGCAGATCTTTTATAATTTACCCCTGAAGAACACAATTTTTTTGTTTTCTTTTTTCTTTTTCTTCCCCTGGTGCAGTGCACAGAGACCCGCAGTGACAGAATTTAGGATGCTAATATTGAAACAAAACCTTTATTGTAGTAAGCCAAGCTATGTTTTCTATATTGCTGTACTGGTAATGAATAATAGCTTCTGAGGACAAGAAAGTTGACTTTTTTTTCCCCCAGTTGAAAGAATCCTTTTTGTAACAGAAGTGCTATCTTAGCTAATTTGACAATCAGCCACCACTTTTTAGAAAAGGAAATGTTACTCTTTTTAATAAACTTATATATAGAAAAAGCATACAAAATACTATCTCTAGTATGTTGAGGAGAAAGGAACACAGGCATATATTTAAACATTTAGCCAGCACTGCATCTTACCTGGGAGATTAAGATTTCAGAAGTGTGCTCTAGTCCAGGCTCTGAGGTGTACCCATCTGCAAAAACTGGACTGACAATTTGCATTAAACTATTGAAAAGAATTTAAGAAATAGGTCAAACTGGGATCAATATAAATGCTAAAGTTTCATGTGGCATGGTTAACATAGCAGTTAATGATGCAGCTGAGTGCAGTTTACCTAGAAGCAGATCTTCAGCAGATGTAAATTATTATAGCTCTAACAATGCTATAGCCATTTACATAAGCTAAAGATCTTTTGTATGACAATGGGCATGTGAAATTCATATCCTTTTGGCTTTGTGAAAAAAACTGTGTTTGATTTACTTAGTCTATTATTCCTAGTCCGTTATTCCTCTGAACAATGGGAAAGCAATCCAGTACCAATCATCAGTGCTTTACCTGATGGTCAGTCAGTGCAAGACTGCTCTGATGCCGTCTGTATGAGAAGCTATTGGTAGCTGACAGCATCATCTTGTTCAAAATTGTCATCACCAATAAAACGACTGTGTAATGAAGGTACATGAGGTGACAACATGATGAATTCCTTCATTCCTGGGCTTAAAAACCCTGCTTGCAGCAGACAGTCCAGACACAGGACAGTTTCTTTTTGTTCTGTTTCCATAACCCTGAACTTCCCAAGTATATAGGGACTGAATCCCAATCCCCCTGAAACTGATGACCATTTCTGTTGGGTTTGAATGGCAAAGAAACAGGCCCAACAAGAGCACTCACTTTCTTAAAATACACAGGAAGAGTTCAAGCATACAGTCATCATGTCAATGCTAAGTAGTCAGAACACTGCAAGTACCCTTACTGAGCTACCTCTGCATACTGAATCTCCAATTTTCAGTACACCCAACAATTTGCTTCCACTGAACACATCCTTTTTTCTTTGTTAAATTTTTTTACATTTAAAAATATTTTAAGCTCTTTTACAATGGAGTTTTGTTAAAGCCTTTACAAAGTCCTTTCCTTCTGATTGCTTGGGGCAGCCTAAATATCGTTTACAAGTCTTGGAGGTGTTGGTCTAAAGGGAACCTAAAGCAAGTATATATTTTGAATTCGTACTTCATGAAACTTAATTATGCATATCAATTCTGTTATGTTTAAAGACTGTTAAGATGTTTAACTGTGACCTGTTACTATGCTTATATGTCTTTAATAAACAGAATGGTTTTGGATTCAATTTTGTTATTAGAAAACCAAGAGAAAATTACTTGTTCTCTAGGTCAACTTTTTACCTCTGTTACCTTCTTGTGTGGGTAATCTTTAGAACTGTTTGCTTGTTCTTTTGAAAGATTATCTCTGCACTGTATGGAAATATTTTATGGACTAAACTTGAGGAAAGAAAGATCTCAGAATACTGTAAATTAGCACCAACTGAAACTTAATTAATTGAACTCCACCAATTTTTCAGTAGAGGGTTAGAACTGTTCTGAATCTTTTCAGCTTCTTGGCTTTAAAGTTAACCGAGAGGTTACTGATGGCAAGCGAGACCTCTGTCCATGTTAAAAACATAAGGATAGGATTTTCTTGATCATCAACAGTTCCGATCTTGGGCATCTCTATAATCCCACCTAATGATAGCAGAGGAGTAAAAAGCCCAAACAATAAAAGAGCACACCATAACTCACAGGGAATCTTAGCACTTTGTGTTGAGTTACTCAAACATTTTATTTCCCTTTTTGTGCACTAAATTGAGAAGCTTTTGATGACCCCAATAATTGGTCCAAGGTAAATAATTCTTTATGTGGTCAAATCAAAATTGTGGTTGTTTTTTCTTACATATCCTTTAATTAGTATGAATAGGTTGTATGACAGAAAAGGCAATCTCTGTGCTTGTTCACAGAGCAAACAGAGAGCAATCCAGCAGCTTGGTTTTACAGAAGCAGTCCCCTACGTTATTCTGGCAGTCAGGGAAAGAGGAGCTGTTAGTTTTATTTGTGTGAGGTTTTCTGTGGCAATATCTTGACAGCGGGAGGTTAGAAGGCAAGATGAAATATTGCCTGTCTGCAACACATTTACTTACGTGCAAGTGTATACGTGCATAAGAGATGAGCAATTGTGTACATAGAAATCACTAGAAAGGACCGAGTCCATGGTATACATTTTTTTGCAAGACTGCATATGGAGAAAGAGCTACTTTTTTGATGTTATTCTGACATTAAAAATTAAATTTCAGACACTGAATGGTGTTTTGTATTGAATCATAATTTCATACAGAACCTTTAGAGCAAATGATCGCAGCATTGTATTTGTAAACTCTATTTTACACTTAAATAGATGTAGGTGCATTAGGGAATACAGTACAGTAAAAGGCTAAATCATAGTTTCTCTATTTTGTTATAAGCCAAATGCATTTATATTTCTATTATTATAAAGTGGCAGAAACATGTACAGTCCCTGTTAAATAGACAAGAGACTAAATTCTGCCCTTGGTTACACTTGCACATCTCCAGTTAAAGAGTTGTTAAGTGGCAGAGTGGTCTCCCCATGGTAGCTGTTTGAAAAGTCCTGTCATTGTTCTAACAAAGCTTGGTAATAATGTAGCCATGATGACAGTAAATGAAGAGTATTTTACTTCAGATTTGATGGCCTGCCTTTTCCAGTATCTAATAAACCAAATCTCTTTTGTCCTATCCGTGAATAGCTCCAGTCTCCCAGACCAAAGGAGCGTTGTATCAGAACAGTGTCAGCAGAGGGAGATTGTCTCCTCTTTGCTGTTTTCTTGTGTAAACCACATTACCAGTTGTGTTCATTAGACTGTGACTTCTTTAAGGAGGCATTTTTAAATAAATTCTTCAAAGTTTATGCATATAGTCCCTGTGAAATTGTCATTCAACAGGGAACTCCCTGCAGGATGGTAAGTAATCTTCTGGAGTAGCAAGGGCAAGGACTGTCCAATGGCTCTAAATGTGGAGAACTAGAGAAAGCAACACCAGGAGATGCAAGTGCAAGGCACTGCTACAGACATGTACCCTTCATGCTGGCATCTAGAGCTGTAACAGAGGTCATGAAAGCAGCCTCTGAATTGTTCTCTTGCCAGAAAGGTGGAGAGTGAGATCTTCAGTGAGAAGTAAAATTAAATTTGTTAGTGATTAAAAGGATGAGGGAGATGTGTTGGAAACAATTGGTGCCAATGAGGCCTCTCAGCTGCTCCCCTAAGCAAATTGCAGTCTCGGTGGAATATTAGCTTCTCAGTCCATCAAATTGCAGCAATCATGTCTGGAGCTGATGGGAGCATGAGTCACCACTTAATTTTCTCATCAGTGGAGGCCAAGTTTTCAAAGTATTTTTAGATGCATTTCCACAGGGATTTCTGCCATCGGTGACCTAGGGAGTGACAAGAAAATGAGCAATAGCTGCTGTTGAATCAGGCTCTGCTCCCTGCCACCTACCCTATTGACTGCAGTTTTGAGCAGGGAGGGCAGGTAGGTCGAAGGACTTTGGCATTGTTACACAGACAAGAGCCTCACTGAGTTGGTCCCAACACCAGGATTTGTCAAGTAATAGCATAACCTGTTAATTCTTAGGCTATCTGCTAGGTTCAAATCAACTCTGTGTTGCTAGCCCAGCCTAGAAGCAGACATGAGATTAGAAATTGCTTGTGATCCCTGCTCAGAGAGAGGGACCCAACAGCTGCAGCACACAGAAGAGGACATGCATCTCCTAAAGGTCCTGTGCTGGTGCGTATTGTCCACTTTTTACCTGGTTCAAAGTTGCCCCCTGTCACGACCATTTTTCACCCAGTTAAGAAGAAAAAAAAAGCCTCTTTGCATAGCATCCTGTGTGGGTGAGCTCCATCTAGTGTAATTGCAACAATGCAAAGGCTTGCAGATGTTAACATAATAATGTTAGTATCTCTGTAAAAGAAAACTTTATGGTCAGTTTTCTTAGGAAATGGTTCTAAGTTTAAGGGAAATTATCTCTCTTAAAAGATAAGAAAATGGACTGCCTCAAAGGAAAGATAATTTCATTGGTAAGATTGAAAAGAATTATGGAGGTCATATGAGAACTGGCCTTTTGCCAGAAGAATTGCAGGAAATAAAATTGGAGAGTCCTGTGACAATAATTGGGTATGAAATTCTATTGACAAAAGCTTTTGCAGTTTTGTGCTCCCTCTGTTTCTTAGTGTTTATGATTGCTTCCCCATCAGTGTCCTTTGTCTGCTGCACAGCCCAAACCCAAGGTGTTACAAAATTCTATCTTATTTCCTGATATTTTCCCCATGTAAGTTTTGCCACTTCTTGTCAACAGCGTTTGATTAAATAAGTGATAAAATGTCTTTTTTTCCTTATATTCAACCTAAATCCTCCCCCTTCCCCCCTTTCTTGTGTTTTAACTTCTCCCAGTTACCTGTCCCTAACTGAACCTGTTGGTGTCATCCCCAAGATGCTCTTATCTGCTTGGAGAGCATCTCTAACAAGATGCTCTCTTCTTAGACACACTATCCCACAGAAGCATGACAAGATAACCATGACCGAGAAACCAGGGCAGCTTTCCAAGATGCTGCTGCCTGGGGAAGCAGAACTTCATGCTGACACTGAAGAGCATTACGCATGCAAATTATGGTTCTCATGTTCTCCGTTAGGTCTCGCAGTTTCCCTGGATGAAAACACCGACATACACGTGGGCCTGCAGCTCAGCGCTGTACTCATTGTAGTCACTACTGATCCTCTGGCAAACCTGTATATTTTGGCAAGTTCTTCAGCCATTCTTGCTTTTTCTGTTTCACAATGTTGCTTTAGACAAATTTGGGAGAACCTTGATATTCTTATTTATAAAAATGACAAAAATCTTTTTTTTTCAGCTGAGTATTTTAGATCATTGTTTGCCTGAAAAATTAACCGATTTCCAAATAGTGGTTCAGGACTGAAAAAAATGCACGTACAGTATTTAGTTTGTGCATCTGCTCTGCCCCTTCCCCAAAACATACATGCAGTCATTCAGGTACCTCACAGCAAGTTGACTAAAGCCCCATTTAGAAAACCGCTACAAACATCTCTTTAGGTCCAGTTCCTTGATAAACAGAATATATCCCAGAGGCGTAATAGTCCACTAAAAGTAAAGAGTATGATGCAATTTCAGCAGCTAATATGATGACTCTATCTGATGAAGCTCACAGAGTGTTAATGTGGGAAGCACGTGTCTGTGAGCCAGTGCCAAGCCTCCTCCTCGGAGCTTATCACAGTATCACAGTATCACAGTAGGTTAGAGATTGGAAGGGACCTCAAAAGATCATCTAGTCCAATTATGTGAGCAACAGCCTGGGAGTAGCTGGGCAGGGCACTGGAGTTCTCGCCACACTGTGCTCCCAAACTCCCCTCTTTCTGACCCCTCCAAGTATAAAGACATTGTTGAGTTGCGGTACGTGAGATTTTGCATGAGGCAGGGGAACCTGACACTGTGGAGCCTGACTTTTATTATGTTTCTGATCAGATAACACCTATTCGTGATGTGTTACAGTTGTGTAACCTCTCTGATTATAAAAGGCATAAAAAGCTGTACTGTCACATTTATCTTATTGAAAGTATCTGTCAGGACATTGTTTAAAAAACACGAAAAGTCAAATTTTGCTGGTGCCAGTTTTTTTGAAGAGTTTTAGGTAGTTTGTTTTGGGGTTGTTTTGGTTTTTTTCTAAGTAACTAAGGTGCATATTACGTGTAGAAAAACTGCTCTCCATGTGTAAAAGGATGCATATTAAACCATAATCTTCTATGTTCCATGATATTTTGCATGTATTTAGGAATGCATTTTACTTATCTAGCTCACTACTTTCTAAAGCAGTCTCTTTCTGCTAATTCATCCTGGTTTAATTTTTTAGCTTTGGTGTATACATAAATATGCTCCACTGTATTTCAAGCAGCAGCTTTCTATGTTTAAGAAATAAATTTAGTGAGAAATTTCACTATTTTTCAGTACTACTGAAAATAAAACCTAGTCTGTCAAGATGGCATAGTGTTATTTGTTGAGTAGCTGCTGCTTGGAATGCATTAGAATGCACTTTTTCAGAAGCCCCAATTTAGGAGTTTATTGTCTTAGCAACAAAATGTTTGCAGCACAATACATTAGCAGAAGGAAAAGAGTATTTATAGCAAGTAATTCAGCTGTTATAAATTATGACTGTAAAGAAAGAGAAAAAAAACTCTCTGCCACATTCTGGTTTCAGTGGTGCTAAGGTAAGTAATGTTCTTTTGATTAACAGTCAAGCCGTGAGTGGTTTTCATTTAAAGAAGACTTTATTAAAGCTTTTGTTCTCAAATTCATCTTTTGTTCTGTTTTGAATGGACTTCCATCTGAAGAAAACTGTCCACGACTTTTTAGCCTACGTTAAATTCCCAGTGACAAACAGATGAGAATTACTATTAATTTGCTCCAGAAAGAACTAATAGGCTTTGTCAAATAAATCATGCAGATCGCCAAGCGTGCCATTCATCTTTTGCAGATGATTGCTTAAAAATCACGATAGCTGTCCTTTGAAAATCTGAAGTCAAATCAGCCGTTTGACTTGAAGTGAAAAATTCAGACCTTGTTGTTGTTGTTTGCAGTTCGGAAAGTGACAGGGAGCTGGTGCATGTGCGGTTTTAGCTTCTAGGAATTGATTTGGCCCTTCGATGTGCGTTGTCGTGCCTGCACCCTTTGCTTTGGTGGCAGTTTTGCATCTCACCCGCAGCCGGAGCCTGGAGGTAACTGCACTGTATACTTTATATACTCTTTATAAACTGCTCAGCCATTTCCCTGCCCTGTGTTCCTGTGAGCTGCCCCGTGTTTTCTGAGGAGCCAGAGGCTGCCAGCAGAGTTGAGCTGCTGCACGTCGCCTCTGGCAGTGTGTATGCACCCGTCCCTGCCTGTGTCCGTGCCCACGGCCTGGCCCGCCGGGTTCCTTGGGGAAGCCAAGGCCCGGGGCTCCCCACCGCACTGCAGGGTGAAGCAGCACCGGGTCGCACCTGCCCCACTGCGCCCCGGGCAGCCTCCTGCCCGCCGCTGCAGCTCCCCAGAGAAGAAAGCGGCGAGCCAGCGGCCCCGGTCCCCGCCTCGGGGCTGGCTGGGGCCGACCCCCACGCTGCGCTGTAGCGGCCTCGGGCTACCCGCCCCGAGCCTGCCCCAGGGGCAGCGAGGCAGGAGGCGGACCCGGGCTCAGCCGCCATCTTCGGGGCAAGGCTGCCCCCTGGCGGCGGCGCGGGAGCTTGCGGGCGGCGGGGAGCAGGGGGGAATCCTGTCGGCCCAGGCCTGCTTTCTCCTCACTATCAGAACTAAAAGGGAAGTGTGTGCGAGGAGGCGACAGCCGCTTGACCTCGGCGTGGATCGGCCCCCGGAGGCCCTGCCCGCCTGCCCCGGGCCGGGAGTACAAGGCAGGGGCTGCGCTTTCCTTTTGGAACGGCTTTCTCCCCTCAGCCCTCCCGGCAGACTAGGGAGGTCGCGGTTAACTCCTCCGACAGGCAGCGTCTGTGGTACATTAGGCACCGGGAATCGCTGGTGACACTTCACTTGACTGGGTTAAACGTTTTCCCACTTCGGGCCCTGTGTTTGCATAATGAAGATCAGCAAGTCACGTCTTCTTTCCCTCTGCACCAACAGCCGCGCATCCTCAGTACCTGGCCGTGGCGTCCTAACGTACATCAACACACGCTGATATACAGCAAGGCTGCTCTTTGACTCGCCTCTGAAACAGCAGCACATTTTCTCTACAACAAATTATACTTTGACATTAGAAGGTGGCAATCTGTAATGGATATTGCAATCTGAAGATTGAGAGAGACTATCTGTGATCTTTGTCCTCAGCCGAGTAAGCTGGAGTCTCACTTCTCTCCTCCATGTTATTTAATTGTGGTACATAACCTTGGGATGTACTAATAATCATTAGTCAGAGCTGATAAATCCTTTATGGGCCTGCCCTGCTCAGGAAGGGAGATGTTCTCTAGAACAGTTGTAAATCAGCAGAACATGCACTTGAATATACAGTAAAATGGGGACTGGGACATGGGCCTTCATACATCATGTAACAAAATGCTTTATTGAGAGAGTCACACGTGCGCTAATGAGGAAAGAAATCTGCCGCAACCAGACACGTAAAAGGGAAGCATTCTGGTGGCAGGAGGGAAGCAGGAAAGGTCCCCAAGCAGCTCATGGTCCAAGGGCAGTCATGACACCCCAGATCCTTCCCTGCCATCCCACAGGTGATGGCGCACCTTGGAGAGGCTGGCAGGAGAAAACAGAGGAGAAAGAAAGGTAAGGAGCCCTGCTGAGCTGTCCAGGCACAAGGGCTTTCCGAGTGAGCCCTGAGGCTGTGGCAGGGGTAGCAGAACGGGTCTGGCTTGCAGGGAGGAGGAGGTGAGAAGCTGTTCTGCTGCTCCCCCGCTGGGCAGGTTGGGTCACTACTTTGTTGGGGTTTGCTGGTAAGCAGCTGTCTTTCTGCAGCTGAATGTTGAAGGAATCATTACAGCATCTCCTCATTCTTTAACAGGCATTTCTCATTATTTAAATATAAGTAGATCTGCACCATGGAGCTGGCTAAAGCGGAGGCAAACCTTCAGGGGTGAGGATGAGTCCTCACCGCTCAGTGAGGCAGCCCAGGCATCACCTCCCCATGCCCAGTTTGCTGGGGGATGTGCTGAATATTTTACTCTCCGGGTTCCTGGCCTTGCTGCTTTGCTCTCCCTTGGTTTGTATGGTCTTAAGCAGTTGCAGGAACTGAAAGGGCTGGCCAAGCCACCCAGCCTAGCATGCATAGCACCTGGGGCCTCATCCCACACTGCTCTGGGAAGAATGCTGCCTCTGCCAAGAGCCTGGGCTTGCACATCCCTGCTGACTGTGATAGCCAGGCCTTCAGGGCCCTGTGGCCTCTCATTTGAGTCTTGTCACCCATTATGGAGGGGACCAAATCAGTCCATGTTTGGCCTTTTTGCTCACTAGTGACAATTCAACCAATACAGGAAACATACATGATGACTTAACCAAGCTCTGGGGGAACTGCATTGTGTAATGCAACCTCTTTACATTTAGTGCCACTAATGTATTGGAGAGCTGCCATTCCTGCTAACTGCAGTTAGGGCAGGCAGCTTTAATAAAGCAGATACAGCACTGCATAAGGCATCTTCTCTGGAGCAGAGGGGGAAGAGATTACGGAAGGACTTGATGATGGGCAAAACCAAACTGATTTCGGGTATCATGGAAAAGCAGTAAGAATCAGTGATGGTATTATAGGTTCATCATTCAGGACTGATAGTTTAGGGGCAGTGATTTATATTTCTGTGGAGCAGAGGAAAAGCAGGAATCACAGTGACATGAGACAGAAAAATGAGCATGCAAGGAAGAGTGTGATGAACAGGCATGTCTGTATGCAAGTTAGTTACTTCTAGTTGTTTTGTTTGGTAGGTTGGCTTTTAGTTAGGATAGCTCAAGCACTGTAATGGTAGCAGAAGATTTAAGCCATAGCAGTTTTCATTGCCAAAACTGTGTTTGATGCCTATTTGGTTGGTGCGGAGACATGAGGATAGGTGTTCATTAGTGCTGAATGTGGGCTGCTCTCCACACCTTTGGTTGGTAATCGTGACCCAAAGCCCTGTCACTTTGCTGAGGGATTGCAGCCCAAAGTGCGTCACAGTCAGCTGTAGGCTGGCCTGTGCTGGAGGAACTGTTATCCCCAGGTTCCAGCAGAATGATTGTGATCAACACAGTAATGCACCCAGGGAGGGAAATGAGGCAAGTCTTCCACTTGTCCCTCCACTTAATATTAGAATGGTTTGTGCCTTTCTTATCCTAATCCTGTCTTGTCTTTTTTTTTTTTCCCCTCCTAAATCTGTTCCAGATATGAGCACAGATGAATTTCCATACAAGATATGTCAGTGAAGAATGGGGGTGTTTGAATGGTTTGCCTTTTAATAAATTAATCAGTGCTCATGTTTTTAACAGCCTTAAGAAAAGATAAAACCCCATCCCTCTTGTCATGGCAACTACAATAAACGAAACGTCATTCAGAAGTCAAGAAAAAAAACACAAGCACTTTAGGTCTCAGCCAAGTCTGCAAAGTAGCAAAACTCATTACTAATTCAAAGGAGCTGTGTCCCTCAGAGCTCACCATTACTGGTTTTACTGCTAATAATATTGGAGCTGCATAAATTTAACAGAAGGAAGTGTTTGGCAGAAGGCAGAGTGTTGTTGAAGTGTGGCTACCTTAACCAAACTTCTTCAGGCTGCTCAGGTCAGGGGGGCAGGAAGTGGTGCTGGGTCATGGGGAAGGGGCTGGGTAGAGGAAGGTCATGGGTTTGTAGCTATAGCAGTCTGGTAACATTAAGCCTAGAGAGACAGTGGAAGAGGCCATAGGTATTTGTAATTTATTCATAACCAGCTATGCCATCACAGGAAACTTTTTCAAATAATATGTGATAGTTCTTTAAATATTTAAGAGTTTGTTGACCTATTTTCTCAGTTAATTAGGATTTTTTTTGGCTGCATTACCAATTACTTGAATGCAGTCTGCTTTAGTCGCTATGCAGTTTGGTTACACTGGGTTACAGGAACATGATTTCTTTCTAAGGCATATTGCACAAGAGAGGCATGCCATTGGAAGTGTCTAGACTTGTACTTAAAAACCTGTGGACTTCCTAGTAGGTAGTGCTTAAGCTCATCTTACTGAACATAAAACTTTTCACCTAGCATCCTTTTGAGTCCTAAAACTAATGTCTTTCCAGTTACAGCACTATCCTTAGTTACTCTGCAACGGAAGGGCCATGGTGGGGCAGCCCTTCTCTTAAAAGTACAATGGTTAAGACCATCAAGCTCATCTCTGCAAGCTGCATTTGTGAGTACACTTTGGTTTTTATTTTGCCCAAGAAGTTAACTTGATAGAAATTTGGCCATGTGTGTAATGCAAAGCATCGTGTTACTAATCACACTACAGTAGTATGGTCAGAAACTAGCTCTTTTCTGAATGCTAATGGACAGTGCTATTAGCAAAAGATGCACTACATTCATCCCACTGAAGGGGTTTCAATAGAAGAACTCATCTATGTCCCTCCTGTCTCCTCTGGAGCCAACGGCAAGGTAAGGGAGGGTGTGAGAGCAGAGCTTTGACTGACTATCCAGCATGAAGATAGACAGTTTTACATGGCCACAGGGCCCTCCTGACAGAGAGGGAAGTTGTCACGAGGAAGGATGTGTGAGCCATCAGGGTCCCATCATTATCTGCTTAGCTCACGGGGGATTGCTTCAGGCTGCAAAATAAGCTGCAGCACCAAAGTTTAAGTCATTACATAGCATGGTGACCATCTGAGCTCCCCTCCCTGGCCCTGAAAAGAACTCCAGGAGTGATTCCAGCACTCTGCAGGGCTCTAAAATATACATCTCAAGAGGATCACTATCAGGACCATTTCTGTCTCTTTCAAAGCTGCAGTCAAACTTTTACCCTTGTTGTTGTTACCTCTCCTTAAAGTGTCAAGTATCTTAATGTTTTCCAAGGGCTGTTTAGTGGCCTCCTGAAGGAAAAGACATGGTTGGAGAGAAGTTTGCACAAACTCAGAGCACAAGGATGCTGTTAACTTTCCGTGCAGCCTTTGCTGGGGTTCTCCAAAGTGACCTGGCAAGGGTACTTCTCAGTGCATATTTCTGCACAGTGTTACTGAGCTGACTCGAAGAAAAAGACTAAGTAAATGCCAGCTGTCAGGCTTCAACAAGCTTCCTCATCAGGTGCAAATGGACAGGAAAGGTTCTCTTCCATTTGCACCTGATGAGGAAGCATGTTTCTCCCCCAAAAGCTGGTGTTCACCACTCTGTGTTTCACTTCCACAGATCAATTCAGTGTTTTTTGAATCAATGTTCTCCGCTAATGAGTTACTGCTTTTTATTTTCAAATTGAAACTTAAAATCTTCTGGCAAATATTTTGTCATCTGAGGGATACCAAGTGCACAGAATCAAACTCGTCAGCTCCTCAGTGAGAATGGTTGGGTTTGTATCAGGGGTTTCTAGTTCCTAGAAAGAAATGTAACACCAGAAACTTTTGCTGAGATTAAAGAGGAGACAGTACTACAATGTGGAGAAAGAATTTCTATTTTTGGCTACACCCTTAAGGCAACAGAGGAAGTGTATGTCATGGCTGCAGTGACAGCTAATGAGCAGATATACAATATTAATTGCAGTAAGTGTAACACACTGAACTATCTATCAACTTCTATTTTCTTAGCAGCTGTAGCTTAGATATTTTCAACTAACACGTCTGTCTGAGCTGGCTACTTCGATTTTGTCTACCTCTATGGCAGCACATACAGGAACTAAACCACTGCTTCCTATAACCTGTGCTGTATAGGCCAGGCTATTTTCACCTACACCGGCCTCTAAGGAGCAGCTTTTGGAGTTGCAGACGTTCAGATGATTGTCTTCTTCCCGCTGCTCGAGGGGCTGACCCAGTTATATTCCGCTTGCACCAGCACGAAGCTGTTCTCCCTGATCTTTCGGAAGTGCATCACCTCCCCGTTTTCGCTGACCGTGATGACACCGGGGTCTGGCTCACTGAAGGAGACCTCCGTCCGCTTGTGGCAGTGCTGGGCACAGACACAGCGCACGGCAGCTGCCAGTGCCAGACCCAGGGCGGCAGTGCAGACCAGGAGGATGCCGAGCTGGGCTGCAAGGAGCCGGGTCCCTCTGCCAGGGTCTTCCCCGTTCCCAGGAACAGCGAACTCGGGAGCTGGTCTGGTCACCCATGGCAGGGTATTCCCTCCCACTTCCTCCTCCTCCTCGTTGCCCCTGGCGCCTGCCTCCTCTGGCTGTGGTGCCAGTTTTCTTTCTGCCATTTGCCTTGAAGCTGATGACAAATTGCTGGCAGCATTAGCATTGTCAAACCAGGCTGTTGTCACAGCAGCATCACCCAGGTGAGTGTGTAGGTGTGGGGCAGAAGGAGATGCTGTCACAATGTGGGAGGCTTCCAAGACGTTCCCACTCTTGGTATTGGCCTTTGGAAGCAAAAACATGATGAGATGTGCAGTGAGAGAAAGGGGATGATCAGGTTCTTACTAGCTACATCATGGTACAGTTCAGCTCTCTAGTTCTCACACCCAGGTATCCCCTCACCTTGGAATAACCCTGCTCCATCCCCTGGTTGATCAGTAGCTTTTAGAAAATGAGGCATATTCAACCCTGCTCCATCCATATCAGAATAGCCAAGAAAGGGATAAGGCACTGGGAATTGGTCCCACAGAGCCAAGGCAGGCTGGACTGAAGGAGCGGAGATGAAGCACACAGGTGGAGAGGAAGGTTATGGCTTTGCCTAAGTAAAGGTCTGCAACTATTGTGGTGGTGGTGGTGGTGGTGGTGGCATTTTTGTCAGGCATCATTATCACCCAAAAAAATCACTTAATTCCCACCTTAAGTGATGACCCATGAGGATCTTGCCAAAAGGTCAGGTGAGATCTTCCTGGCCAAGCCTCATGTTTAGGGTCACACTAGGCCCACAGGGATTCAGTATGACTCTGCTGAGGCTGTGGATTCAACCATGGAGCAGAGGGACCTAGGAGACTTGGGATGGCCTTTGACATCAGTGGTTTTGGGGCAGTCACACACAATCTCTGAACTCTCCCCAAAGCCCATCTTGCTTTCTCAGTCTACACAGCCAGGTTGAAACCTGCTGCCTCTCAGTGTTGCTTAACCACCTCTTTTAGTGGGAATAACCATTCTTGCACATTCCTGTCCCTAGGGGCTCTGTCTGGTGCCATGCACCTTGTTTTATCCATCACAAAATAACAGCTGCTTCACACCAGTTGTGCAGCCCAGGCTTTGCAGATATCATCCAGGGCTAACTGTGAAACAATCATAGGATTTAGGAGACCCCCAATGAATTTTTCCATTCCCACTGTGCACCTGAGCCCCCATCCAAAGCCTGCAAAATGTGCTGGAGTTTTTTCTTTGTCTCCATTGTGATTTGGATCTGGTCCTCAGCAGCTGGCACCTCTCCAGCCTGTCCAGCCCAGCAGGCTTTTTCACACATCCATTAATTACATCAGAGAAACTCTCACCCTCTACCATCACTAGTGATTTCTAAAGCTTGCTGGGAAGACAGTGTGACAGGAGCACAAAGCTGAGGTAGGAGCCCTGGCAAACTGAGAAGCAAAGTTGGGGAGGAGCAGAGCATCCTTTGTGGAAGAGATACTTTTTGAAGGTGCTAGTAAAATACCGGGGCAAATAAAAGACATTCTGTGGCTGAACTCCAAACTAGTAGCTGGCTGGCAAAGTTAGAATTGCATGTGTATGGATCACTTGCCCTCAAAATGCAAATGACATACTGTAAATATATACTGCAGAATTTGGGACTTGGGGATAGAAAATTGAATTGCCTCACAATTCCTTCTTGCCTCATTCTCTGCTGCATGGCCCCTTCCTTGTTTATGTTCTGTGAGATTACTTCTCTTCCTCCTGTGGCATCCTGTAACCCAGATCTAGTTCTTTATTTTCCTTAGGTTTTGATTCTCTCCATCCCCTGCATATTAGACTTCCAGGTATTCCTGATGAGTGCACCTCACTCCTGTGGCTAACCCCACCACCACCACCTCTGCCTTTTTGGTTCATCCAACCTCCTGAGCTGACCCTGTCCTCAGAAAGCATACAGCTTCCTTGGCCATCCCCAGGAAAGATGAAGCCTTTGACCTCTGGTGAACATCATTGGTGGTACCTATCCAGCACCTCTGGAAATTAACATCATCTACAACTGCCTGAAAGGAGGTTGTAGTGAGGTGGGGGCTGGTCTCTTCTCCCAAGTAACAAATGATAGGACAAGAGGAAAGAGCCTCAAGGTGCATCAGGGAGGTTTGGATTGGATATTAGGAGAAATTTCTTCACAGGGAGGGTAATCAGGCATTGGAACAGGCTTCCCAGGGAAGTGATGGAATCACCTCCCCTGGAAGTGTTTAAAAAACGTGTAGATGAGGCCCACAGTGATATGGTTTGGTGGTGGTCTTGGCAGTCCTGGGGTAATGGTTGGACTTGATGATCTTAAAGGTCTTTTCCAACCTAGCTGATTTTATGGTCTCAGTCTTCCACAGGAATAAAACTGATATTCCAGCCCAGTAGCGACCAGCAGCCTACAGTCATGTCTACATATGGAAAAGTTATTTTTGATTGTTTTTACAGCGGGACTTTTAAAAACCAGGACAGCAGGCTCAAAATGAAAACAAAAGAGGTATAAAAGCCAATTCCCAGTTCAAGTAAAAAAAAAAAAATAAAATAGGCCTCTTAACAGTCCCTGTCTAATTTTAGTCACTTGTGAGACCTATACAGGCTGCTTGGTGCCGTGATGCAGTAAAGACAGCATCCTCTTCTCTTAGACCCTTCTGTCTTTGGAGAAGACATCCTGCCCAACCTGGCTGCTTACCTGCCCATCTTCTTTACACATCAAACACAAGCGTGGGGTGGCAGCACTGGCAGTGCTCCCTGCCCTAAGAAACAGACAGAGGAAAGGCAGGGTTAGTAGATGAGACATGTCACTGTGGCTCACATGGGAACCCCTGCACCACCAGAGAAGTGTGCTGCTCCCTAAAGCTGCCTTGGGATGCTCACAGTCAACATAGACTGTACGGGGATGTATTCTTAGTAATGCTTGACCTTTTATTCCTATCTGCATTGTTTTCACCCATAGTGTGAAGTGTTGCATGAAAGCTTATGCAGCCCAAACCCTGTAAGACTTCAGAGCAGACATCCTCAAGCCCAAATTTCCTAATTGCTTTGAATCTTTTCTTCCTTTTTGCTGCAGATGGAGAAATAAGTCTGCTGAGTTCACCATTTCATTGAATATTTTATGTGCTTTTAGAAAAATACTGTAGCAGTCAATAGCTTTTATCATGGTTTTCAGCCACCCAGCCAGTTCTCCGCTGGACTGAGCAGCACAGCGCTGGTTTTTAAGAGTTTTAGATTTTCTCCCTGTCGCTGTCATGTGCAAACTCCAAAGCATTACTCCTCAAAATTTCATCAAGCAAATACTCTCTTTCCTCCCTCCAAGCCAGAGACACCTTCCTACATGGACCCTCATTCATTCACGGGAAAACTAGTACTATTTTCCTTCTCCAAGGGCTGGAGAAACACCTCTTCCCACCACTTAGCTTACCCACTGGGGGTGCTGTAGCTGGAGGCATTGTCCTGGGGCAGGAGCTCTTGTATGGCAGCTCTGGTGCTGTGGTCTTGGGTGGGGAGGGACGGCTCCAACCACTGGCTGCTGGCCCCACCATTCCCACTGGACACAGCCCGTGAGGGCCGGGCCAGCTGCTTCGGCTCCGCAATGGGATGGGCACCAAAATCTGGCTCTGGTGTCAGCACTGCTGTGGTGCTGGTGGGGCTGGCAGGAGGCACTGTGGTGTGCAGGAGGAAGCCAGTGGCAGCCACAGGAGAGGTGGGACCTTGTCCAGCATGGAGACCAAACAAGAAGCAGGGTGAGAGGAGCAGAAGTCTATTGTCCATGGTTCGTTTATTTCAAATCCCACTCTGTGCTAGCATTTGCCAGGAAGGATTGTAGCAGTGACTTTTTTGGGGTTTTGTTTTCATGTCACTTAATTTTAAGTGGGAACCCAGATGGAAAGCAAAGCAGCAAAGCCTGCTGCCTAAATTATGGCCAAGTAAAATAATTAGAACTCAGTCTTGGGGCCATGCCAGAAATGCTGAGAAACACATCTGATTTGGGTATAAGTAAATTCTTGGGTCATTTTACTGACCAAAGGTTGCATAAACACAGCTAAATACATACCTGAAGGAAAACAGTCAGATTTAGAGGTGAACTTATTCCTTTATCTAGACACCATTGTGAATTGCACTTGCTTTTCTTCAGGAGCTGAGATTATAGGTAAAGTATGTTATATTTTAGGGTTTGCATTGAAATCATAATATCCGGTAATCTTATTTATCTTTCTGGCACCCTCCTTGGAACTGACTCCATCAGTTCAGACGCTGACCCATGCCCTCACTTCAAGGGAGTTTGGCTGATCTCCCTGATGGCCACAGGAGTTAAACAGGTCCCTCCAGCTTGTTTGGGTCACTTGTGTTCAGTGCTTGCCTGGAATAAGCTATAAAACTACTCTGTTGGAAGCGTTTGATAAGAAACATGTACCTTTGCTCACCATACCTGTGGGGTCAGCTGGTTCCTGCAAAGGAGTTACAGCAGTTACAGGGTCGGGCCTCTCGCTGCTGCCAGCAGGCATTTTGTTTTGCCCTCGGTGAGCCACAACAGCAGATTCAATCTTTGCCCAATAAACAAAGTATGACTGGACTACAGAGATGCTGTTAAAACATAATTAGGCAAGGATTTACTGATTCTATGGCATGAATAAAACATCTGACTGTTTAGCTAATCACAAAGACTGGTTTGATCTGAAGACAGAAGGGATGCAAAAGTATTCTAAAGGATTAGCCTGTCACAGGTTTTATATTACAAATAAAGATACCAGGTCCCATAAGAAAGATATGGGGTGAAGAACCACCACTTGTAGTTAAGATCAGCCAAAAAACTGTGTAGGAACTTAAATATTTTGTAAAAAAAGCTTTTGTATTTGCTGTGTTGTTAGAAGCACATTTATAAAACTTGGACTAGCTCTGCTTCTGATTTTCCGTAGGCAGGGAAACAACAGTGGTATTTACTAATTAAAACAAGTCAATGTAACTTGTACAAACAGCAGAATAGGTAGGAAAAAAAAGGCCTCTCTTCTCAGCCCTCTGATATTTGGGTCTGCCCAACCCTCTGCTTTTTGTCAGGTGCCAAAACTGCACTGGCCAACCTTTAACTATTCGCCCAGAGAGCCTTATTTAAGTTGAAGATTTGGGGAGAATTTCAGCTCGGATTGCTCAGCTGCTTCTGAGAACTAGCTAAAAAGAAAGAGAACTAGCTAAAAAGAAACTGACCCAGGTTTTTCCTGTGCCAGATGATTCTTATAAGGCATTTTTAAACACAACAAGGAGTTCTTCCAGATGCTGTGATAGGGAAAAAAAGGGAGAGGCTACCAGAAACCAGCAAAAGCCAGAGGGTGAAGGAAAGATCAGAGTGGGGGGCTAGGAATAGGTGTTGTTGAATTTGGGTTGAGTTTATTGGGTTGCTTGAGTTTTATGTGTTTTTAATAGTATTTCCCAATCTAAAACAACAGCCAAAAACTGGAAATGCCAAGCAGCAGTATTTCTGTTTCAATGAATTTGTGTTGAATCACAATGAGATGCACAAGCCCCTGCACTCACCAGGACATTTATGTTTTGGGGAGCAGCCAAGCATCTGGCCAAGCAGCTTCTAAGTTGTTTTGTAAAGTCAAAACATAGCAAGTTCATCTCTTCCAAAATGAAAAAGATAAAATGTGCTTCCTCTAAGACAGACAGTTAGAAAATGTTTAATTTCATTCCAAATCAGAACTAAATTATTCAGTAGTTTGAGACAATGGTTTCAAGTTTTGACCCAGTGCTCATTCTCTCTTCCTACTGGCAATAATTCTGGTTACATTTAGCAAAATGTAAACAATCCACTCATTTTTATTTAATTTTTAAACAGAACTGATATGCAAGATTATCCTGTAGGCAGGGAAGTCCTACGGGCTGTGTCGTTTAGAAGGACATGCAACCTGATCACAGTTCTATCTTTGTGCCTTGATGTTCCTGTTTCCTAACTGCTCTCTGCCATCTTCCAGTATGATTATTCTGGGAAAATAGTGACCATGAAAATAAAAAGCAGCACTGCCCAGCAGATACAAATAGCAATTCATGTACCAGCTGGGATAGTGTTGCAGCATTTGATAAGTATTTGATCAGTATTTAGCTATATGGTGTTCAAGATACGTAAACCACTGTGCTGGACAATGGAAAAATAAAGTCAAGCCTTTAACCAAGAAGACATGAATTCTGGTTAGGAACCAGCATGTACTTACAAAAACTTGATGTCTCCAATGGGTTGGTCTGGTGCTTTCCATACAAAGGACAGGTTTCTCTTCAGTGACTTGTCCGAGTGGGTGACACTGTCACCATCTTCAAAGCAAGTCAGCAGCTTGGAACCAGGAGGGATGAGGATGAACGTGCCAGTGATTTCATCGTTAGACACTTGGCGAGCTTGAAGCAAAAAGCCCATAAAATCCCTGGTGCTCCTCACTATCACTGCAAGACAAAACACAGGACACAAATGGTCTCATAGTTATGGGGTTAATTGTTTGCAATGTAGTTTCCAGTGGTAGCACTGAAACCAAAAGAAAATCATGTGGAACAATACCAAAAACATCTTACTGCCATTGTCCTCATGGTCTACCTTGGACATACTGGATTCAGGAGGCCAGACTTTATCTTTGACTTTGCAGTATGTAGTTGCATGGAAAATTTGCTTAAGTCTTTCCTGCCTCTCCCCTTGATTATAAGCTGCTAACCACATTGCATTAGGCTGCATGCAAAGGCTTGCACGCTCCCCTAAGAGGGGGTTTATTTTACATGGGGATGAACAGGCAAGTGGCCTGGCTGAGGAGCAGTGCCTCTCAGCTCTGTCTGTATCTGCCTCAGAAGCAGTGATGCTGTGGATAGGGCACACTGCCAACTGTACCTAAGAGTCAAGCAAGTCACTCAGACCCCTTTGTGCAGTGCAGAGCAGGAAAGGCGACGTTACCCTCTGGAGGTGCCTGTTGCACGTGGTGAGGTGCAGTATGGTTGAGACACAGTTGAGATAAATGAATCCCACCCAAAGCATCCGAATCTACTGGCTGCCTCCAGCAAACAGATGGTCTGAATTACGGTGAAAACCTGGAGTCAGCCATCACCTGAGAAACCTTAGGCCTAGCGCTGCAAATGGAATCCCTCTGTAAATGCATTTGTTTCTTCCCCATGGCAGGGGGTTTTAGTTAGATGATCTTTAAGGTCCCTTCCAACCCAAACCATTCTATGATTTGTGATGCTACGATGAGAGAGGTAGTGTAGCTCACTCAGAGCAGTTATCCCTCTTCCCAGCCATCACAAAGATCAATACCACACTTGACATTAGTCATCATACATTTTTCAGATGCAGGAAGGAGCAGCTGTTCCTTACCTGGAACCTTGTCACCTGGGGAGTAGAAGGACATGTTGGTGTGGACAGTAACGTAGTTGTTTGGGCTGTGCAGCTGTGCTCTCAGGTGCCTGGGCATCATGTCAGTGCAGGCAGAAAGGCTTGCGCCGTGTGAGAAGGCAGCCACGTAAGAGACCAAACACAAGGTTGTGCATGCCCAGCCAATAATGGCTATGTGGGCTCTCCTGCTGTCCTCCATCCTATGGTGGAAAACAACCAGCAAGTTCACTTCAAAGTAGTGGCTTCCACAGCCTTGTAAGCCCATCTGGTGCCTTTGAATCAGGTGAGCTCCAGAGCTTCTCACAGCCTTTAACCAAAGAGCATAAGTGGTCTCTGTGGCACATGGAGCCACTTTGGCTATCCACAGCATTTCACATGTTGAAGTAAATTGCAGAGACTGGGGTGGAAAGGCCCCACAAGAGGATGCACTTCTTGCAAAGTTGCCCATGGAGGGAGCTGCCAGGGAAGATTTGCTCTAAAAAGTCTTGTAGCATTTAGAAGGAGGCTCCATATGACTGTGCTCAGCACCCACCACCATTCCCAGCTCCTGTACAACCTGATCAATGGGGGAAGCATTTACCCTTAGACCTGCAGAGCTGCTGCAGGCCCCATGGCTTACGGGGCTGGTGCCCAGCACAGAGGTTCTCCCTGCCCACTGGCACAGAGCCATGTCGCTGCAGGGACAGGATATGGCTGCCTCTTGCTCCGGCCTGCAGGAGCATGAGGCATCTTTTAACAGCCCACACATTGCAGCTTGGAAGTGCCAGGCTGCTTGTGACCATTGGACTCATCCTCTGCCACCAGCAGCATTTCAGCTTGTATTTGTGGGTCAGGGCTCACTGTTGCTGACGAGAGGTCTTTGAAATCAGCACTGGAAGCCTGAGATAAATGGCAGCCATTTTGGCTAATGCCAAGATTTCTCCTTATTCTCCAATTTTTAATCCAAGCAAGTGTCTTTTCTCAGCATGGTCCAAGTTTAGTATTTGGCATGCTGTGTCTTTAGTACCTCTCAGCTTTGCCAGCTGGCACAAAACACATTTCCAGATTAGTTGGGGTGTTGTTATTCTGATTTTTCAGAATGCACTTTTGAAAGTGAAGCTGAAGGGTGAGTGCACCATGTTTATTGTAATGGATATCGTAAGCAGGTAGTCCTGCTTTTAATGTAGCACTTTCTAACATCTTTTCAACATGCAGCTTTTCCTGGCTTAGATCTCATTACACTTACTCAAGAAGTAAATTTAAATAAATTGGAGGAAAACAGAGGCTGAGGAGGTCTAGCTTACACCTCCGTCTCTAGTGCTTCTTAAACTCGCTAGCTCACTCTAACAAACCACCACTGCACACAAAACAGCCTGGAGCAGGGAGCAGATGGATGCAGTTTAACCTTCCACAGCCGAGCATCACGCCCCTCCAGCCAGTTATGTGTCAGAAGGTGGCTGTGGGAGTCACACTCCCACAAGCTAAACAGTCCTGTTAAATAGCTCAGTTCCCGCACAGTGGCAGGGTGCCTCCTCCTCAGGCACACCTACACCTCCCTTGCTGGATGTGATTTCTTGCTGAAGCTCACAAAAGTCCCCCTGCACAGCAGCTCTTTCCCATGGGTGTTTCCCAGGCTGTGCCCTGCTTCCCATCCCTCCCTGCGCCCCTCCCCTCCCAGCACCCTCCCTGCTCAGCACAGGGAGTAGGACCGTGCTCCCTGGGGCCACCTGGGCTGGTGCTGCTGGCTCTTACCTCGGGACACGTCTGCCGCTGGGCTTGCTGCCGCTGCTGCTGTCCTGGCCTGCCAGAGACCCATCCTTTCAGGGACCTTCTTCACTTTCTCCTCTAATGGGAAGCGCGGCAGCTGTTACTGCTAATACCCACCACCTACGGCAGCTCTCCACCAGTGCCCAAATCCTGCCTTAATCATATTAGTTTTCCTTCTCACATCCTACCCCCTGGTTTGTTTGGGTGGTTTTTTTTCACATCTCCAAGCTTCTCTAATGAAAACAAAAGCAACTAGCGGGGGGGCAGCAGCAACCCATGGAGTTTGTGTGGGACTCCCTTGCAGACATGCAGAAGGATCGGACTCTTGCTTGCCCCGTTTCTCTCTGCACATAAATCCCATTCCATGCTGCCTGAAGCTTTGTAAATCAAAGTGAAGTCAGCTCCCTCTAGTCTGTGACCCCCAAGCAGTGTATCCTGTCTCTCATGCTTACATGGGAGTTATTTTGGCAGTAAAAGAAGAATCTTGCTAGAAAGGCCAGGAAGGTGCTTCCTACAGACCAGCCCTGCCAGGAGGAGCCATCATCACACCACAAACCCACCAGAGCTGGCACAGGAGTCTCAGCAACTGATATGTGTGACTGTCTCCTGGCACATGAGCTGCCTTTAACTCGAGGCTGACACCACTGCAGCTTGCCTGAGATAGGCTGCAGCCACGCCAGTGCTCAGACAAAGAGCTGATCCTGTCCCTGGATTTCCCAGCTCCTCCTGGGACCCACCTCATCTCTGCAGGCTGCTCTGGTCATTAGGACTCTCTCCTGACCCTGGCCACTGTCACTAGGCTCACTCTTCTCGCTGCCAACCGCTCCTTGCTCGCAATGGGTGGAAATTAGGGTTCAACTTCTCATCATCATTAGAGACACCATCAGGAGATGCTGAACAAACTGCTGGTAGCTTGTGGACTCAAGTAGGAAGAGAGGAACAGAGCAACAGCCCCATCATCTGGCTGGCTTTTCTTCAGCTAGCAGACCATTTAAAAGCAGTCTCACATGTCCTGGGCCACTGGGAGGGGGGCTAGCCATGTGGTGCAGGAAAGCTATTGATGGAGGGGCAAGTGTGCTTATGCCTTTTTGTCCTACTACTCCTCAGATAAACGTATGTCTGACAGCTGAATGAGTTCACACTCATGTCCCTGTAGGACACCCTAAAGCTCTGTCCTGTCCCATGACTGAAGGAGATACACCAACACATAGGTGACACCACTGTGTTTTCTTTGTGCAGCTCCAGGGGTGCCTGTATTTGATCTTGCTTAGAGGTTTGACCAGTGTGGGAGTATGTGCAGAGCAGATATCACACTTACCTCTGCCTGGGGTGTCCCCCAAAAACTGGAGGCAGACTTGCAGAGACCCCACTCATTAGCGCTGTTCCCATCAGCCTGCCCTGCTCTACAGCCTGTCATTCAGCAGTGAAATGATGCTGGGCTGGCACTGTGGTACTGCCACTGACATCCCAACTCTCATCTCTTTAACTGGTTTGAAAGTATGGGAACTGATGGTCCTGAGCTCTCAGTATCCTGCTGTCTTCATTTGAAACAGGCCTTACAGTCACTGAATTTCAGGATATAATGCAAGTTTTACAGTTTCCTTTTGTCAGTGGAAGCAGAGAGTAGGAGGGGAAGGGAGAAAGAGTTTGCATTACTGCTCCTGTCTCAGTTTGTAATTGCCCACATTTCATACACAAAAGAGAGTAACCCTTATGCTACATCAGTGAGTAATCTTTTCCTGAAACCAGCTGGTCTCTTATGGCTTTTCCTTACTAACTTGCTTCTGAGCTAAACTATTACTTGCTTGTAATTCCAGTGTAATAAACAACAGACCTCTGATAATCTGCAGGGGAAACACCAAACGCATCACAGCCATTCTTGTGCAGTGGCCAGGTCTGAAAACAATATTCCACCTAAGTAGGTCTTTGCATCATGGCATGGTGTAACAGCATTTCATAGTCTTCTTCAGCTGCTGCCACAATTTGGGCACATGTTTTTATTATGCCAGCTCCAGTGAGGACCATTTCTCCACCGGCTTACATCTGAAAAAGGGCAAAAAGCAGCAGAGCGCAGACCCTGAAACAGCACTCTTGGGTGCTCCCTGGAGCTCTGTGCAAAGCTATGGGGAGAAGGGCAAAGAGCTTCAAACAAATGAGACCCAGACCCAACCCAACTGTAACAGCACAGGATGTACCGCTGTACTGAACTGGTTCTGCTTGCTCCTAAAGCTTGTGGTATCTGGGCAGGCCAGGAGGTGCTGCTGAGGGGCTGCTGTGTGCAGGGTTAGCAGCACCAGTCAGCAGAACTGCATGGCACTGCCTGGAGGCAGCATTAATTGCTGGGCTGATCTGAAATACAGCCTTATGCAGAGTTCATCCTCACTGCCTGCTCTCTAGCAGAAGAACTCTGTGGCTTCAAAGCTGCACTCAAACCAAATGTCACAGTCATCTCCTCCTCAGAGATGGAAAAATCCTGTCACAGTCATTACCATGACACATGCACCTACGAGCAGCCTTGAACTGCGTGTTTGAATGCCAAGTGACAGGCAGATGTTTCCAGCAAGAAATACAGCCCTCTCCATAGCCTCTGGTTGCATCACCCATCAGGACAGCATTGCCTCAGCCTCCTCTGGCCAGAGTTTTGACCAGCTGCAGTCACTTGAGCTCAGCCAGGTTCTGCATATTGCTCTGACGATGAGGCCCAGACAGACACAAGAAAGCCATGTGGCACTGCTGTCACTAGGAGAGGTTTGCCTCCTTCCTGTCATAAATTTCTGCATTAGTAGGAAGTTGGCAAGGAGTAGGAGACTTAAGACAACTTACACTCTGCCTATTGTTTTCTCAGCAGCCTGTGTATCATGGATTTCTAGAATAAACCCCACAGTTGGGATTTTAAAATAGCACTAGGAAAAACTGTGCATGCTGTGTAACAACTTGATAATTAAAATAGGCTATAAACCTACTATAAAACTAACTGAAATTTCATGAATAAAGTGCACAGAAGGGTTATAAACCCAGTTACATCCCAGGCTCTTTGATGCAGAAGCTTTCTCCTTCCTGCTTACTGCTTCTACATCTCCACATCATTGGGGCACAACAGGGACAGCAGACTTGGAGCAGGTGCAGTGGAGATCAGTTTGCAATATGGGCATGGATGTGAGCAATCCAGGTCTGACACTGAAGCACAAGCTGGTTGTTTCACTGACAGGTCGAGAACTGCTTTGCTACCACAAGATAATTAGGGTTATAATGAGTTAGAAGTCCTTCCTGGTCAGCTAGTGGCCACCTGAGTCCTATGAAGAAAGTCTGGGGGCAGTTAAGAGTGGGTAGGTTGATTGAGTGTTTCAAAGTGGCAACAATTAGTTGAGTCCAGATCACAAGGAACTGATCATTAAACCAGTAAAGCTGGCAGCACCATCTAATTTGATAAGATTGCATGTCATCTTTAGAATAAAAGGCAGTCTGTGAGAAGAGTGGCTAAAAGCCCACAGCAGGAGAGCGGTAAAAACCTGTGGTAGTCCCACAGGGAGAATGGAGAACAATGCCTACAAACTGGTATCTTAGGGTTGACCTAGGGATGTTTGTGGCTCTGTGTTTGGGGACACCAGGGAAAAGAGGATGTTTCTCTGACATCTAGTTAGGCAGAAGGTTGGCAGAAGTACTGTCAGGTCCTTCCACTTCTAACCAGTTGACTGTTCTTGCTATTCTTGTATCACACTTACTGAAGTGGGACAGTGGATACAAATTTTACCGCTGAGAATGACCTAACATATACATGCAACATACAGTGTGAGTCTCCTCTTACAAATTCAGCCCCCGAGCTCCACTGTTACATTGAGCTGGTGAAGGTGTCCTGCAGACAAGGGGTCTGTGTGGCCCAGTGGAGACCTGAAAGCCATGCTGGGCATGTAGCCCAGCTCAGCCCAGCCTGGTTGCTGTGTGTATCACTGACTCATAAATGTTCAAGGGTCCCTCAGGCAGGATCAATACAGCAGCTCAGGAAAACCCTCTTCCTGTCCCATTTCTCAGCCATGGGGAACAGTTTGGCACAGGAACCTTTGAAACTGCTGGCTCTAGTCTGTTTGCTTTCAAAATGGACATGGAATTAGAGCTGGAGCTGGCCATGGGCACAGGTTGGCATATTAAAGACCAGGCGTTGCTTTGGTGCCATCAGTCAAATGTTTGAAGGCTGCCATTTTGCAAACACTTTCATGCTTTGACTACTGTGAACAACACAGCTGAAACCTACAGCTGTGGGGCACAGCTGGCTTTTTGGAGCTGAGTAAGAGCCTTAGAACTTAATGAGCCAATTGTACTCGAAAGGGCTCTTGATAGCTGTTTTGTCACTGTATCATGAAAAAGATAGAAAGAATTCAAATAAATAAAGAGTGGTTTATGTTAGATTCCCCCTGACCTAGGAACCCATTAGCAACAAACTGTAAAACTGAGTGGTCATCAGTGTATACCTTTAAAGAAAAGCTTTTCTAGCATGCTCTGCTCCGTTATATAGGGGCACTCCAGGCTTTAGTAGTAAGTAAGCTGGCTCCTGGCTGTCCCACTACATAATTACTTACTGCCTTCTTCCAGATTTGTTTTCTCTAGTTTCTGTATGCTACGCTGTGCTGCTGCTCCCAGACAGGCTTTTTTTTAAGGAGATGTGGTTTACTTTGACTTTTCAAGTGCAAGAAACTTACACTGGATGTGGGGATGTAGGAAATCCAGAGTTACTGCTCCTCCTAGAGTCTGTCTCTGAGTGAATGTGTGGAAGAGGGTGTGGATGGGGTGGCAGTTGAACAGCCT